CAGCTCTATTTTGCACCAATTGAAGTGTTCGGACTGTCTTCAGGGGAGACAGTTTATGGTTTCTTTCTGTATTGAAAAAAAAAAAAAAAGCAGAGGGGGGGAGGAAAAAAAGCAGTAAAGCCAGCCTCGGCCATGAATTTTATTTATTTATTTATTTATTTATTTATTTATTTATTTATTTATTTATTTAGGGAACTTCTATGCCACCCCATTCGCCGAAGCCTCGGGGCAGCTCACAAACACTTTGTAGTGCTGTTGATGTCATGCGTATGCAGCAGGGAGGGAGGCTTCTGGGAGGACAGAAATTGAATAGGATTGTCTTGGTACGTGTGTGCATGTACATGAATTTGCACCAGGTGAATCCCCAAGCTGTGCCTTCATTCTCTTCCCTCCCTCAACACACTTGAGGGCCATTCAGCTGCTCTCAGTGCTCTGAGGCTCCTGAGCCTGCTAAGTCCTTGCCAGCCACACATTTAAGTGCAAATTATATTGTTAACTGCTGATGTTTAAATGGGTAATTTTCCCATCTCTTCTCTTTTGCCTTTTTTGATACTGTTTTTAGGGAGGAATGAAGTAGTGAATGTTCCCCTTTCATTGGAGCAGCTGCCCCATGGACTCTGTCGGGCTTCCTTGCATTCCTTGTGGTGATTGATCCTTTAACTCCATCTGTGCTATCTCTATGTAATTTTCCTCTGGTTTCTGAACACAAGATATGGTCTGCATTCTTTCTAACAAAGTGTTTTTTGGAACTTCAGATCTTCAAAACTGTTTCCCCTTCACAGGTCTGATAAAATGTATCAGTTCCCCACCACCCCACCCAAAAAAATGTGTTGGCAAATTGAAACAAGAACAATGGCAAAAACAGAATTGTGCATTTTTTGACATGGGCCAGTCAAAGTTTAGCAATTTTAAATCACATTGATTTCAACCATAGAAATTCACCTTTATGCTTAATCAGAAGCCAACTTCATAAGTTAGGTGATTTTTTTTAATGATTTGATCATGCACCTAAGAACCCCGTTTGTTAA